CTGCCTTCCATCTAACTTGGTCTCGGCGGCTGGTTGCTCGGAGACACTGACATCATACAGAAGTTCTCACCTCGTTTAGTATGTGATATTTGTGTGGCAGTTTGTCTCTTCATATGTGTATAGACAGTGTGTTGATATGGGTCAGGTTTGGTCGTAATGGGTGGGGCGTAGAGTGAATAGGTGCGGCCCTTAGAATTACCCTAGCCCGGAGATGGTCCCACGCACCACACAGGGCAAGGCCACCCACCCTCCCTGTACACACCACCACCTTCATCCTGCCATGTGAGGCTCCGTGAGGCAGGCAGTCTACAGCAGGTTAGTTAGTCTAGTCCAAACTCGAATATTTGTGCCAAGTTGTATGAAAAGAGTTCACTCAAAGTGCTTCAAGACCTGCCCTCCTCCCCCGTATATTCTTTGTCAAGGGAAAATAAACTTGAATGTAAAGCAAAAGAATGATCTGTCAGAACCACGCTCAGTAAACTCATAACCTGCCGATACGTGTAATCAATAAACACTGGTGGGGGGGGGGCTTATGTACTGTGTATGTGAGTTGGTGTAGTATTGATGACACAAACAGGTAAATGAGTCCCTGTAACTGTGCTGACTTCCCTACCTATTCCTGGGGGATGGGGTGCACTGGTGTTGTCAATTAACCTGACTCCGTTACCATTTGTTCCTCGTACAGTTGAGCCGAGTGATGGGCAGCCGAGGCTAGTAAGTGATCCTCCTTCAGCAAAATTAAGATCGGTCAGGTGCAGTAACAATGACCCACAAATACTCTTAAATAGTTTTAATCAAGGACGAATATTTTATGGCAAATTATGGGAAAAAATGATTCGTATGAGTATAATAAATATTTATCTTCAACATCAAATTAAAACTTTAAAGAAACAAGTAATGTTGCAGTACGTTCAATGTAACCGACTTGTACTGCTGCAACATCTGGAGACGGAGAGGGGTGGAGGACAAAAAGTGCGTGATATATATATATATATATATATATATATATATATATATATATATATATATATATATATATATATATATATATATATATATATATATATATATATATATATATATAAGGGAGACGATGGTGGTAATGAAAGTGTAACGCATTTAGGAGGGGAGGTGACAGACGGTCAATACAGTAGGTTGGTGTGTGTTAACATCTACTACCTGGAGATAGCGCCCTCTTCACCCACCTGCCTCTGATGACTTCACCTGTCACCTTTATTATGACCGGGTAATGTGGAGGAGGGGAGGCAAGTATGTACTTTGATAGGAACCATTTGTGTTGGTGGAGGTGAGGGGTTGTGGAGGTGAGGTGTAGCTGAGGTGAGGGGTAGCTGAGGTGAGGGGTTGTGGAGGTGAGGGGTTGAGGAGGTGAGGGGTTGTGGAGGTGAGGTGTAGCTGAGGTGAGGGGTAGCTGAGGTGAGGGGTTGTGGAGGTGAGGGGTTGAGGTGAGGGGTTGAGGTGAGGGGCGGTGAGGGGGTATTCTTGGCCTGAGCTGTGCTATACTGTACTGTACTACCTCTTTACTTTACCTACATAAGAATGGAGGAAACTACAGCGGGCCTATTGGCCCATACTGGACAGTCCCATTTACACCCAACCCCTATT